AATATATAATATAGGTTATTAATTTACCATTTATAACATTTTTTGTTGATCCTTTGAAAGACTTGCAAAGATTTGTTATTTGAATTGCCTTAAAATCTTTCATACAATCTGGTACAGGTTCTAAGTCAGGATTTGCGACGGAATATCTATCGATCTCATCAAATTCTACTGATTCTGGAACTTTAGTGCACCAAAATGAAGTTTTGAAACAAACCCAAGGAGATCGATTTCGTTCATATTGGCTTGACAAAATCATGTCAAAATAATATGCTAGGCAAGCGTAAACAAGTGTATCAAATGCCATGATTACTAAACTTTCACCAAATGACAATCCTGGACCATTCCAAATATTACTAAAATGAAGGCCTTCACCTGCCAAGTCCATTTGCATAGCTTTATCAATAGCTAATGCAAAACCGGATGGACTTAATAAAGATACTAGCCACAATAGTTTTTTACTTGACGGGTCGATAAAAGTATGCAAAAAATACATAAGGCTTATCAAATTCAGTACAAAATTTCCCAGTATTCCAGCTGTCTAAAAAAAATATTAATTGAAAATTAAAAATATTTAATATTAATTTCTGTTAAATAGATATAGATGTCTTTGATGAATATCAGTGGCGTAAGTAAGATAAACTTTCTTGAAAAGATATTTATAAAACACTTGTCGAATATAAACGATCCTTTACCTAATAAATCAATAAGTTGATGACTTTTAATAAACAGATTTATATGGTTTGTATTTTTTGATATTACGAGAGGATTTAGAAACCTTTAAATCACTAAATGTGAGTAATTAATTACTAGAAACTGAGTGACTGAAATCTCGGTTTATATTAATAAATATATAGAAATATCAAATATGAATTACATTATTGATTTTTTTCAACACATAATAAACATGTAGAGATAATGAGTTAAAATTATGGTTAGGAAAAGTTTAGTTTTTTTTTTAAAAATATGATCTTATTTTACTGATATAGTAACTAAACGCCACTGGTATTAATAATCAGATAATATGGGTAAGTACTTACTCGGGATTTGTCGAAGAAGGGAGAAATCATAAAACTGAAGAAAATAACTGTAATTGAGTACAAAAACACTAATAAAAATATTAATACCCAATTAGTGTTATTGAAAACTCCAAGTAAGTATAATATTATAGTACTGGCTAATGACAGTACTATTGAGTAAGCTGCATAGATGTTGAACCATGAACACCAAAATACCAATTCTCTAAGTCCCATTATTTTCATACCTTCTTTTATCTTTTTTTCTTTCTCACCAACTAACTGTACCAAAAGATATGTAATAAATTGTGATAAAGCAATCACTACATAAAGAGGTATAACCATATGAAATACCATTAACCAATCTGCAAATAATTTTGAATTTAAAATTATTATTGCAATAGAATTATCTAAGTAAAACTAAAAACAATTCACACTCACTTGCTGTATACGCTGGTTTAGGAAAAAGTACAAAACTGTAATCTGGTAATGTTACAGAAGAATTAGTGACCAAAGAGATCTTAGTAATATCCACTAGAGTCTGAAGGGCTATAAATCCTGAGTATATGTAATGAATTGCTGGACATGATATTTCTTCATTGTGTTGATTGTTATTATGGTGATGTCGATGGAGAAACTTTTTAGTTAATTTATTAGCTGATACTTTTCGACATTGATGGCTAGATCCATAAAGTTTAGATGGTAATGGTGATGAATCATAAAATGGATTTGTACGAATCTTATAACTATAACAAAAATATACAAATAAGGATTAGCTACTCCAGTAGTTAATATAAATAATTTTAAGAGTATAAAGAATGAAATATAAAACATGTAAGTGCTGTGCCAAGTTATTTTCTTGAAATTTATTCTTTTTTTTAAATAACAATACAATTATATGTTTGGTTTTTGATAAAATAATTAATCGTGTGCTCCATATTATACGAAATGAATGAACAATTAGTTTATAATCGTATATTTTATCCGATAAAATATAAGTTTCATATTCGATAAAAAGTATTATAAGACATAACCACATAGGCACGTTAATATTATTATTAATAAATTGTTTAAAACCTTATCGAATGATTTTTAATAGGATCGTCATCGAATAATAAAGCTATGTAAACCATTTCTGGATTATTTCTTTGTATTTCAAATATATCTTCTTTGTTCTGATAAATACTAAAATTAATTTTCTCTCCATCCCGTTTCATCCAAATTTCATTCATTTTTTCTAAAAAAATCTATAATTTGGTTTCACGTTAAATCAAAACAATATCATTCAAAAACTAACAAATAGGTATATAAAATATATTCTATTATAAATTATTATAATAAACATATATTTAAACAAAAGTTTATATACATTATCTAAATTATAAAATTTACCTGTACTTGTTTCGTTGACGGTGATACAGTTATATTTCCATATAAGTAATTATACATATCAGGAGATTCTTGAGGCACTGTTACTGGTGGAAAATGAGGATTGGGTATCAACAATTTTATTGCGACTAAAAGCCCTAACGTGTACACAGGAATAGCGATTTCCTGGACAACGTTAATTTATTTTAATGATTTATGCACAGTACTATTATTAATTAAAAAATAAAAAATAAAAATGAATGTAAGTACTCACAGACAATGTTTTTTTGATTTCCCTCCGTTTAATGAGCACATTTCTAATTGTCATTGCTTTTATTTGGTACCAACATTCGAAATTAATTGAGAACTTCATTTTAAGAACTCAATTGAAACCACACAGACAACTGAAGTCAGCTCTATTCATATAAGTAAATATTTTAGCAATGATTCTATTGATTTTTATGATGAAGGTTCTCAAGGTTCTACTAAGTAATGAATATCTAATAAGTCATGCAGGGACACTGATGACTTTTTCTTTCGTTTTTCTAACCGAAACCTATAATTTAAACTTGCCTCTTTTTTAAAATTATATATTATAATATATGACTATAACATAAGCATAAAATACGTTGGTATACCTATGGGCTACACGTATATGGTATATTGGCTAAAGTATATTATTTTATAAAAGATAGATATACAATTCTTATTTGTTCATAAAATATGTTAATAATTCATTCAATTTAATACACATACCCCATCATTATTTTTTTTTACTATACCTACCTTAACCAGCTTAACCCAATGAATTGTTTAAAATACGTAGAAAAATGCTGTATTTTGATGGATACAATTAAAATATAATTATTATTTAGAATTTTTTTATGAATCTAGTTAGCTATTAAATTATAAAAGTTTTTTTTTAAATTTAATATAAATTATCTAGGTTATAATGGTTATAACTTAGGTATATCTTATATACAGGGTTGGGATTTAATACATTTGTGAATATTTTTTTTTTGTTCTGTCAAAATTTGTTTTACGTGACTATTGCGTCAGTTGGGTGTTTTGTTTATATTTTGAATGTTTGAAATTTTCTTTAGTATTCTTATTCCTGCATAATATGTGTGCAATATGTAATAATTTAGGATTTTAAATATTTAGAAACAAATGTAGGGTTCTTAGTGTATATTTTAACAGTTATTTGTCTGCATTAATAAATTCACAGCTCCGAGTCTCTGTTTATAAATTTAGTAATAAGTTTGTTTTAGATTGATATCAGCAAGATATCTAGTTTTAGTGACAAGCCGATTACCTACAATATGGCTACGTGACTGCACGTAGACCGTAGGCATGGGTATCTATACATATACTATAACCTAATTATAAATAAAAATGAATCCTGTACTTATTTTTCTATAGAACTACAACAGGTTATTTTAGTGAATCTCATAACCTAAATAAGGACACATTTTATGTGTACTTATTATTTAAATAATAATAATCAACAAGAACTAATCCATAAAATAAAACAGTTTAATGTCATTATTCAATAATTAATATTATTAAGTACTTATAGCGTATAGCAGCGATTCTCAACCACTTTAGCTGTAAGGACCACCAATTTTGAAAAATAATCTTTGAGCCCACAAATAGCTCACCTATATACGAATGCATGTATATATGTATGTATAAACAAACGTCAATTCTTAGAACTAAAAAGAATTAAAAAATCAATTGTTTATCATGAAATTAAACATATATTAAACTTAATCACAAATTAAACAATTTGATGTGATTTTTGACATTACTTGTCTTTTGTTAGAGAGTCAATATCGGGGTGAAAACTGGATGGTTTTAGGATTAAATCACTTTCAACATTCAGTTTATTCCTATATTTAAATATTATAATTCCTATATTGATAAATATTATTATAGCCAGAAATATTATTAGGTATATACTAAAAATATATGATAATATAAATCAGTGACGTACCCAAGAATTAGATATGAGAATTCGGAATGCGTACTAACTCTATAATTATTTTTTTGGTACCTATTAGTTTGTTATATCCCCATCCGAGCGTGTGAAAACTTTATAGCCCCACGACTCAGGGTTTTTTTTTCTTACCGCCGTTGATTATAATAAATGTATGGAAAAAACTCGGAAATACGTACACAAAAAAATAATAATAGTAACAAAAAGTATATGAGTCATAATAATTAATTTTTTAATATGCATAATAAATGCATAAATATAGTTATAAATGATGATAATGACTCATCATTTTTAATTTGTATAATTATATGTTTCAAAAAAAGTGTACTTATGTCTTATAATCTATATGTATATTATAATGCTATATTAATATAAATTAAAGCTTCCGGCCTTTACATTGGGTGCTTGTGAAAACAAATCTTTTGAATTCATTTTAATGATATATGATTCATAATATGAAATAACATTATAAATAATATAAATCTGTAAATCGAATAACAAGAACAAAAACGTAGGTACTAAGACCCATCACGGTTGTTATTGTTATATAATTTGATGTTTAATCGGTATATCGATTTTATAATTTTATTATTGGTATTTGAACAACCCATAATATTAGATAAAATATACCTATAGGTAGTATATGATAGGTGCTTATAGGCTTTAGTAATGGTTATTTTTTTCCAAGAACCGTCAAATTATTAACGGGATAATATATTTATTATTATGAATTGCACCGAAGATAAAAAAAAACCCGAGCGGCGGGGCTTCACAGTTTTCAAATGTTCGGGAGGATATATAAAACACCAGTACCCTTTTTTAGTTGGTTTAAACATACAAATGTATAATTTACTTCATAATTGAAAGATTACTTACAATTACAAACATGTTTTATGTAAACGAAACGCTATCAAATAAAATAAATGCCAGCTTATTGAATAGATAATATTTGAGTAGTATCAAAACAAATTTTAATTAAATTAGTATGTACTTACTTACTCAAATAATAATTCTTAAAAGTATGTATTGCAACACTGATGTCTGATAATATATGCTAGAAGTCTAGAACCTAGATAGCCGATAGGTATACTACAATTTTAATTGTATTAATTTGTTAAAAGGATGTTATACCCGGTTGTGATGTCTCAGTCTTAATAATGTGAAGTGCAGTCAATTTTATGTAAGAGACAAGAGTGAATTGACTTTTTATACAAGTATACAATTTAAAGGTAAGAATATTATATTTTGGACTCCACGTAGATATTTTTTAAATATTTCATTTTGGAACAAAATATTAGTATTTTAAAATTGCAAATTTCTATGATGTTATATATAATTTTTTTTATTTGACTAAATTTCAATATTATGGAAACATTTTGTAATTTTTGTCACAATTAACAAGGTTCCGTTGATGAAGTTGTAAGAATAAACAAACAAAAATAACTGCTTGCAAAATATATGAATAAAAATAATTTTCTATTTACATATTATTTAATATAAAATTAAACCAAATTTAAATTGTATTTTGTGTTTACAGTAGTTATCTACAATTAGCTCCTATTGGTATGGCCTTGAAACTTTAAGGTTTTTTAATTTAATTTATGTTCATTAGTAACTGCATGTATGTGATTATTCTCAAAGTAATAAGTTATTAGTAGACAATTATTAAAAACCATTGCAATTATTCTAAGAATTATTATAACAGTATTTAATTTCTTATTTTTAGGTACCTATATTTATACATATATATATAATATAAACTAATTCATCCAAAATTAAATGTTTAAGTAATATTATGCTTGTTATTACCTGAACCCGTTTTATTTGGAGTTTGATTACTAAACGTCGAGATAAGATAAGTGAGCAGTAAACACGTTTAATTAATGTACGTCTACTCTTGTGAAGTGCATATATAAAAATGTCATATTCGTACTTATTTATTAGAATATTCAAGTAAATTAAAAAAAAAATATGATATTGGAATAGATTCCATTAAATACATTTTTAATTGTAAAACGTTGTAAAAAGTGTTAATTTACAATACATTGTATAGTTTTGCTGATGGTAGTTGGAAATTTTTAATTTTTCTACTATAGTAGAATGTTAAATTAAGGTCGTCTTCGTCTAGACTTAAAATACTTAAAATAGGTACATTTATTAAGACATAATTATATCGTCGTCTGACGATCCGGTATAAACTACAGGTAGCTTATAATTTATAATACATTAATACACATATTAAGGACGATGACACATGGTCAATGATTTAGCTAAACAAAAATTAGTTTAATAAAACTTCCACTTTTCCCTCCTCCAGTCATCCGTAGGCCCTAGCGATAACACCACAGTTCACATAAATACATAATCTATATAAGCCATTATGTGGCGCCATTATAATATTAATATGGTTCATTGTTCATTTTTAGGTCACGTAAAGACGAACACAAATGCTCATAGTTTATATTTTGGAACAATTTAGATTATGATGGAAGTTGTGGTTACTGGTTGGTATAAAAAACCAATTCACAAAACTTATTTGTAAATAATTATACCTATTGGTAAATAATATAAGTGTACTAATCATCATTTTTCATATATTAATTGAATGTATAAACATTGAATAAATTTAAAAAAAACTTAATTCCATTTAATTAATATATTTATTTAAACAACTTTATTTATTTTCTATATTTTAATAACCTTCTAGACTTATCTATATACCTAACGTGATAATGTGATATAATACCAAATTCACATAGTTGAATTTAATCTACTAGCAATTCAATTAAGTCTTTACTCTTTTGAATGAACCTATATATAATATTATAATATAATTATACAGGTATTTTTTTCTTATGAACTTAAATTTAAAGTATTGGTGTAAATTTCATTGTTCCATCAAAAAATCCCAAAACGAAATTCATAATAGATTTTTCTGTTATATGAATTCCGTATTCCATTACTGAAATCCTTGCCATTGGAATATCTATTAGAGTCAACAATGGAGCTGTGTCATCAGTCAATCTTGTAAACTGTCTTAAAGTATCTGATGTGCAATCCTATGAAATTAGTATTATTAATTATAAAAATTATTCATAAACAATAAACATTGTACATTATTATTATTAATTACTATATTATACAAATATATGTGTTCAATTAATCATTAATTATAAAAAATTAAACGTACGTCAGGAGCTATAAAGAATAAGAGATCATATAATGCATTTGACCGGGTCTTTGCAACTTGTTGTGCTACAGGTAACAAAACACCTTCAGCCAACTCTAATTCTTCTTCTTGGTCTCCTTCGATGAATAACACAACAGCTGGGTAACTCTGAAGTTTTGGTAGTAATCTCGAAGAAAGCGAATAAACAAATCGTCTTCTCCATGGGAAATACTGTAATTAACAGAGGTTTAAATTTGTTAAAGTTAGATTAGGTAATAATACAAAAATATCTTACCAATCCATCAGGATCTTCCGTAATTTCCGCTCGACCATTCTCTGTGATGATATTTCCATTATTATCAATTAATACTAGATAAGGAATACCACGAACATTAAAACATTCAGTTAAGTCTTTTCGTAAAGTAGTATTTGAATATGGAACAGAAGGCCAAGGCATTGTAGACGCATGAGAGTTATAAGACTGTTCACTTCTGAAAAATCAATATGATTTTGTTTTTAGTTTTAAAATTATCTTTTAAATTAAATTTTAAGAAAATCTTATCTTAACTACAGTTGTCTAATTGATTGTGTAAGATGTAACTCAATATTTTAATACGTGTTGTTAAAATATTTTCAATCAAAACTAAACCAAAAAAGCGGGCAAATAGATAACCGCTCTGCTGTACAATGTATAAGTATCGAGTGTACCTCGTCATTGATTGGGTATTTTAGTAACTGTAATAGACGTATTAAATTTGAACTCAATAATTAACTAATACTTGTTATCATATACGAAGAAAAATTTAAGTGGAGATGGTCTAACTTTTTGGTAACTATGGTTACTAGTTATTTTTACTGAGAAAAGTCTACTTTTAACCTACCAAAGTAGAAACTAGATCAAATTTGCTAACTTAAACCTCCAATGAAGTGGATGATTGGACAATTTTTTCTACTAAGAAAAATATTCTCCAACAAAAAAAAAATTTAAAAACATACATCAATATAAAATCAATGTACATTGAACATATCAAACATATATAGGTATACGAATATTCTTCGTTCCACACAGAATCTAAAATGATTAAGTTATAGAATTTAAAAATGTAAAACAAAAATTACTATATTATATTTTTAATTGTTTTATATTCTGAGGGGTATTACCATTGGGTGACTTCCCCTATCACGCGAATCATGTTATGTTCATTTCTAATTGTTATCATAATGACTTATTGTACAGATTATGTGTATAGACTATGGATTGTCTTTTTCTTAATAAAAAAAAAAAAATTGTTTTATATTATTTCGTGATATATAGGTAATAATCATAGGTTACATATAGAGTATAGATTATAGCTGGTGATAATAACATTGATATTTGATACTTATTAGGTGTCTAAATGTAATTTAGTTCTACTTATAAGAAGACACTACTCACAAAATGCTCATAACTCACTTTAAAATTAAAATATAAAAAAAAACTTGTGAGATACACTAAAAACTGTTCTTATTTTTAAACTATAAGCCCATTCACTTTAATATTAAACATAACAGCCTTAAAGAGACGTAGCACCCACATGTGTTGTCTCCGTCTTACACACGTAGATACGATCGTATCATATTAGCAAATTAGCAAATTTTCGTTCATTAGTTTCTGTAGTGTGATGTTAGTTTTCATATTAGAGTGAATCGAACTACTGTAACATTTAGAAGTAAGATTATTAACTAGTTGTTATTGACATTAGTAAGTTATGATGTTTTTGAAACTGTAAGTTTTAAAATTATTCAGAGCATACAATTTTCAATGTTATGTATTTGTTAGACGGAGACAATGCATGCGGGTTTAGCGTCCTCTTAATTTGTTTAATAAAATAATTATTAATTACAATTGTGTTAAAAATACAATACCTGTCAGAACTGACAAATATGATCTCGAACTGGATTCTTTTTCTTATACTGTCGTAAGCATGAATGAGTTGTGGAATAAATGCTTTGCATGGCGGACACTAAAATTACAATAGTTTAGAAGTACAATCAATTTATCTGTTACTTTAAATCGTAATTAATACCCAATGCGCCGAAAAATATAGACCATATATGGTTTCATTGGATTCATTTGAGGAGAGTTTTAAAGCTTCTTGACAAATTTTTTCATTCCATAAGTTCGTCCATGGAAAACTTTTTCCACTACACGACAAAAGTTTAAGACCATTTCGAGTATGAACTTTCTCCAAATAGCTATCGTTCAGAATTAACAAAGTTTCTGCATTCCCAACACGATATTTATGTCTCAAACGAACCTAAAAACCACAACATAGATTTAAGAACAAAAAAAGTATAGATACAATATTATTTTAAAATTAAATGCAACAGTTTTTTCAGATAGTGTTATTTTGAGCAAAGCTTAGCTTATATTACCTAAGGTCTAAAACTGATAACTATTTTTTCAAAAGTGGGTTACTATCTTAAATGTGTTTTCACCACATTTTAATATTTTAAGCCTTAGACGCCTGTAGGTGTCTGACTAAGACATCAACCAAATACTGAGCAAGTTTGTATACGTGGCATCCGCATTTTCAGCATTATAGTGTAGTTATATAACATTAGTAAAAAGTAATACATATAAAATAAAAATTTAATGCATTAGAGATGTATGAAATTTAAAATCAAATGCTTATTATGTCAAAAGGTTAATTTGTTATTTAATTTTATATACTACTACCTAGGTGTCCCACTCAGCGTTTTCGAGTCTATTAATTACAGACAGGCAAACAAACATTCATTTTTATATCTAAATATTATTTTATTATTATTTTATAGATAGTTGAGCCTATGATGTAAAAAAATACATTTTGAGATTTTTATCGTCATCATAAGTGTTAACCAAACAGTTTTTTTTATGTATAAAGTAAATATGTACACTATACAATATAGTATACAACCATCGATCTTCTTAGAGGCTAAATGATTGATAAAGGCATAATTATATGTGTACAACGTATAACAATATTAAATATACAATAGGTACCTATATTACTAGAAAAAATCTTCAGGTATCGAGTGTACTTTATAATTGAGTAGGTCACTGTAATGGAAACATATACACATAGTGTTCAAAAAGTTTGGGAACGGTAATTTAACTAATTTTAGTACTGATATGATATAATTAACGAGGTGATTAAATATTTTACCGAATAGTGCAGCAGTGTTATCTGTTATCATCATATTATGTAGGCATAAAAATAAGCAAACAGTAATTAATAGGTTTCCAAATTTAGTATATATTATTACATATATTTTTAATTCAATGATAAATCATTGAAAAAGAAAAAAATTATAAGCCCAGACGGTATGCATATAGTAATTTATTTTTCTATTTACGGTAGGTTTAGGTTGAAATAATTATCGCCAAAAATAAATAGTACATTTTATAAAGTAATATAGTAATAATGTAATATATGTAAGTAATACATATTTTTTTATAAATACTTCAAAGACAAAAAAAATTGAACATGTTAGTTTAATATACATAACTAAAAATTAGTTTAAATATTTTTAAAATTTCATTAGGTATGGAAAATTATAAATATAGCAAAATTTTTCAAATTAATACCCTGCTATATAGTAGGTGTAGAGTACAATTCGTCATTAAGAACACTGTAATGGATGTGTTAAATTTGATTTCAATGATAATTCATTGTTCAATTGATGAAAAACGATTCTGGGTGCCACGTGGAAATAACCTTCCAACCTATCAGGATATTTTATTTCATATTTGTATTATTATTAGTTATTATTTTTTTATTATTATTAATACAATAAGATGAATTATTTATATTTTATTATATTTTAATTTTAAAAATACATGAAACATTCCACTATCACATACCTACTTATAATTATTCATTTTATATACACAATTACATTTTCAAAATATTTAGATTCACAAAAGCTTTAGGTATTTACATCAAACCATACGACCCGTGTGTATTAAATTAGAAGTATGCAACAGCTACCTATAGTAATATATTACATGAAATAATATTATAATATATAGTTATAATAGCGTATGTGAGATTTGTTTTTGGCAAAAATTAGTTCAACATAGGTATCGTATTACTGGTATTATAATTAGCAATAATAAATATAATAATTTACTATACAAATCCATAAAAATATATAGGTCTGTAGACCGTCTCCGTTTAGAATCGTTTTTTTATTCAATGATTTTTCATTGAAATCAAGCTAACACACCCATTACAGTGACCTACTCTGCAATGACGAGGCACACTTGATTGGTTCCTTCTATAAAGCAAAGAGACTTTTGATTTTTTTAAGAACACACATTCTGGCTATATTTTATCGATACTCTCATGTATTCTGATGAAAAATAAATAATTTGTAATGCTAATGAATACTAGCATATTTTTTAAATATAATGAAATAAGTTGTAAATATATTATAACAAAAATGAAAAAAATTAATACAAATATGCAAAATAAATTGCTGAAACAATATTTTGCTTGGGTCATTATATTGAAAAAGAAAAATACGTAATAAAATCAAAGTCGTTTAGATATACTAGAGGTATATCGTAAATATACCAAAAATTACCATTTATAAGGCCATCTTATAAAATAATCAAATCAATATTGGATAATATAATTTAATATAACATTTATCTTACAGCACATATAAAAATATTTAATTATTTAAAACATTTTTTTAGAATAAAATCTCCAGTTCAAAGAAAATAAGGAAGAAAGAAGAAATTGAAGATTTTGTAGTTAAGTATCAAATAAAAATATAAATTTACATTATTTAGTAAAATAATTAATTTAATGTTTTTTTTTTTTAAATACTAACTGCGCATTAATTAATTATTATTAACAGAGTAAAACTGAAACTGTTTAAAAAAAAAAACATAAAATCGATATTACCCATGTATATATAGGTACACTGTTTTACTAACCACTTCAACAAAAGCACGCATAGGTTTGTTGTAAAAAGTGTTTCACTTAATGGCTTCCTTTAAACAGTAAAATTAAAAATAAAGTGTATTATATATGTGGTAGTGTTTATGGTAGTATTGATTCAACAATGGTTGAGGTGTAAGTGTAACAATAGAGAGGGATATTGAATGCGTAAAATTGCAATAAATCAGAAACGTTTCCCCACTATGGTTAATGTATATGGATGCAGGTGCGTGCTGAAGAGTCACTATGAGCAAAGCGGACAACCCCAAAGTAATAAAATGCATGCAAAAAAAAATTACTGAGGGTGCCAAATCTTAAGGAGATGTGATGTGCATGAAAGCTTAAATGAGAATGATATAGGAGAGGAGGGACCAGTTGTTATTAAAATGTGAGAATCCCGAGGGGGTTACAATAAATCGTACTTTAGGGAATGTGACCATAGGAGGTCTCTGTTGTATAATACTATGTTATCCCTAAAAGTAAAGTGAACACCCTACTAATTTTTTACTACGATCTGTTACATTATAATATAATATTATTTATAGAAAGGTACATAATATGTAAAAACTATAAAAAATTATGTAGATTTAAATATGAGTCACCATATCTTCTGCTAACTGACTTAATGTTTTATATTAATTTTTTTAAATTATTTAATGTATGAAAATATTATAACCTTTAAATATTTACATATTGTTCAAAAAACATTATACACTAACGGAGTTTTAAATTAAATTTTATTCGGACCAATGACCACTAAGCTTGTTGCGGTGATGTTATAAGCTTATTTCAATTTTCTTAATTCGTGAAAACTATTTATTCCACTTTTCTCTAAAATTGAAACGATATAAATAAATAATTGGATTATGGTTTAAACTTTAAAGTACTTTTAAACCCCAAGTGAGTTATATCGTTAAGCGGCCGATCAGAAATACTTTATATTTAATATTTTAAAGTCTAATCGTATTTTTTTTTTTTATAGCTAACCTATAGAAACGTACAATTTCATCACTCTTTGACATTATAATGTGTAAATGTTAAAAATTTTCTGTTTGAGGACATTACTAATAAGCCTATAGAGAAATGGCTTTCACCAGGTGAATAATAAAAATATTATTTTTTAAACTAAGTATAAATATTTGATTGAAATATAAAATTACAATATATAATTATAATTATAATAGTTATATATCGTGATATTTGTATTATTTATTATATTTGTATATATTTATAATGAATACTTGTATATACAAGAGAAATTTTTATATTTTTTAATTTTTATGCTTACTCTCTTCTCTGCGTATTCGTAAAGAACTGAATGCCACGGAACATCATTGGTCAATTCATCAAAATACTTGCGGTCATCAGCTAAGTCTGGATAACAAATCTGGATAATATTTAGTGTCTTCTCGTTCTCGTTTACAGTTTTGTATAGATCACGTAGAGCTCGATCATCGGTTGTGACAGTTTCACTGCCTAATGGGACGAAATACAATGCGATTAAAGACCCATTGAACGTCGACTCATTTAGCTCCACTGTCGCCGAACCGTATAACAAACGATCACCGAGGAGTTCTGTTAAACGTGATGATAGACATAACTCAACAGCCATTTCTTCACATATTTACCTAAATGCTTAATACAAATAATAACAAAAATCAAAAGTGTGTATATACTATATTATACTAAACAGTTTAGATTATTTATTGTATATAGTAATATTCTTGAGCCTTGAGGGTCATATTATGTTTATATTCAAAGATCACAGTTAAAATTTAAAAAAATATAAAAAGTAAACATAAAACAAAATATATGTTTAGAGTGATCAAAATCCCGTATTATAAAAATGGTAAATCATCCCACAAATGTTTTAACAAACATTTTCTGTTATGCTGTGTCTGGTGTATTGAATAATACATACAAATATTATATGGATTTAACCATAAAATAATATAATAAAATCAAGAATAACGAATAAAAATTTTATTAGTTTTCAACTAGTACAAAACTATAAACAAATATTACATACCTATTGTAACTAATTACAATTCAAATCAAATGTTTGTATGTTCAGATTTTATCTGTTCCATTAAATGTAAAAACCAAAATTAGTCACATTAAAAAGGCAACAGAATAGATTTATACATTGTTACAAAGTGAAACAGATAATAAGATTATTAATAATCAATTAATTATAGACCGTATGATTATCAATTTTATCAAAATATTATCAAAATTAAATGTAATTTTAAGAAATCGACAAAAAAATATTAAGTTTATTTATCGAGTAAAATATAATATAAAATATAAATCTTGTATAGTTGTATAAGTGTATTTTAGTAAAAATGTATTTAAGCATTTGACTTTGACTACAGTGTCTGACCAAATATAGTGTTATTATAAATACCAACCTTAATTTGTGTAAAAGTATATCCTAACTTGTTTTAAGTATTAAATAACATTATTTTGTCTGTGAACAATAGAAAGTATCACTTATAAAGAGTCGACAGAGCACTCGGACTGACGTCATGAAGCATACTGAATTGCCGAGGCGAAAGGGAATAGGGATAAGGGATCGTGAAACTCGGCGTTGTTTATACTACATATATTTTATATGGCTGTATATATGTACATATCAGATACAAACAGTATGCCACCCCCAAGGGAGAAATCCCTTTTTCCTGAAAAGTATAAAGCTTTAAAACTTCAATTATTATGTTTAAATATAATATACGCATAGTCGTATATATTATACTCTTTATTAAACAGGATATTATAGCTTATAAGATACTCATTGTTGAAACACTTTACAGAGCAGGATATTGATGTACCTACGTTTGAAAAAAATTGTAATCAATAACAAATCATAGAATATTGATTCTGAATATCTGAGTGTACCTCGTTTTAAATATTTTAATACTGTACCTGTTTTGAAATTATAACTTTATGTACCGTATGAACCTTGTACCTATACTTAAACTTTTAAATCCTCATCATACATTTTTTTTTATTTATACCTCATTAAAGTCTTTAATTCTTGCCCTCCTTGGATATAAATAGGCAGCTAATACAAAAAGCTAAATATCGTAAAACATAAATACTATGATTTTGGGTACCTATGTCTTTCATCAATACTATAAAAATATACCATGTCAGCTGCCTTATACACGTTAATTATTGATAAGTTAAAAGAACACTTCACCTTTACATATCCTCAATCCTCATATTATATTATGTTACCTACCTAACTTTGAAGTACCTAGATTAAAATGTAATTGTTTTATTAATTTTTATATTAATTGTTTTGTAAATATGTAAAGATGTAAAACATATAACACAGGTTATGTTGTGTAGAAATATTTCTCTGGAATATATATTTTTTCTCGTTGAGGGAAATTTAAGTAGCCGTGGCCCGTAAGTACCTAGGTTCGCCTTCGCACCCATATAAAACAAATAGATTACATGATAAATAATAATCAATAACTTAATGTTACCTTTACTCTTTATTAGTACCTAAATAAAATCTAGGTAGGTACTGTGGGAAACCAGGAAGCCCGCATACAAATAAATTATTGCAGAAATCGAAGAAAAAAGTAGTAACTATACGGATTTATTTTTAATTCTTCAGTAGGTTGTGAGTAGGTATATACTATACATCGTAATCATACCAGTAAGATATTATTTTATTGGGCATTATTCAAATTTTATAGCTAAATCTACCAGCTATGTACATTGTACATGCTAGTACATACATACCTACCCATAAACTTATATTTTACGCATTTTGATGGGCGAACGCGAACTACAGACTATTGTATAATAATTTAATGTAGTATATAGTAATGATTTTATAACGATACACTGTTATTATTTCAATGCTTTAAAAAGAATAGAAATATTATTTTAAATTTTTTAATTTCTTCTTAGTTATCTACAATGATTACATACAACTAATTAATGATTGTATAGTTAATAGTATCGTACAAACTAAAAATGTCAAATATATTTTTAGTATGTCTATAACCCGTGTTTACTTTTCAGTTTTCTCATTAGGGATTTAAATGGTAATCAAATTAAAAAGTGTATGAATATTTATTTTTTTTTATTTTTAGTAGGTAGATATACAAAATGTTAATTATTATTATTATTATGTGTAAATATCTCTTGACTTCACTAAGGCAAGGGTATAAAATTGTTTTATTATAATTATATTATTTGAGTGTTTCTTATTAAGTACATTATACAATATACATTCATTAAATTATCAACTGATAGACGATAGTCCACAACAAGCCCGTACAAAACAAAGCTAAAGAGTTAAGGGGAGACTAATCGTAATTTGCTGACACACCCATTAATCATTATAATATAGAACATGTAAGTGTCAAGGCTTTAAAATACTTACAATTCTCGTCTCTCGAGTGGCCACTTGACACTTTACACTATGGTTTACCTGCTTCTTCCTCCTTTCCAAGTCCCAATTAATTAGAATAGTAGGTACTCCCCTGTAATAATACTAAACAGATTTTGTATGTAAAAAATTGAAAATAAAGCTATGGAAAATAAAAATTATAAGTTTTAATGAGTTTTTTACCCCGAATGTAGAAGTAGAACATAAGACATTTTATTTTCCTTATGAATTGAACAAATGTAAAAATACAATTAAGACACTATACACCTAGTTACCATCCACACATTTACAAAATATGTTAAATTCTAATAATAATTATATAAGTTTATTTAATTATGGAAGTATATATGTTATTAGGTACTTATTGTGAAGATATACTAATTATTAATTAATAGGTATTTAATAATTACAATTTAAAAAAGTTATTTAAATACAATATAGCCTATAGGTACATAATATAATATATGTTGTATATTTTAATCAACGTGCAATTCTAGTATTGCAAAAACTCGAGTTAATTTCTCATTTACCTTCCATATTTTGAAACTTTCTATAATTTGAAGTAATATTGATCGTTCACTTAAAAATCTTGCAGTAATTCGAATAAAAACAATGCATTTAGATTTAGTACACATGGTAATTCGTAGTAAAATTTCAGGGAAAACTAGCCGTCAACACACGACTATTCAAAGTTCGACGGTCGGCAAATTGGGAGTGTATTTTCCAAAATGTATTTCTTAGAGTCTTATCGTTAATAATTTGTCTAATAATTCTGTATAAATCTCATAGACCTTATACCTTAGTACAAGGTCTATGATAAATCTAGCTTATTATTTCCGATAACTATCAAATTATTATCATAGGTAAATACGACATTTTATCATAACCATTGATTAAATACAATTTGTATTTAATCAATGTCATAAGCATAACTCAGCGATTCAAGTATTGTTTTTTTGGCCTGTTGATATTTTGAACCACTCAGCAAATTCAAACTCTTGGTAATTTAAAATTTTTACTAACTCCCACCAACTTCGAATTATCGAGAGTCGACTGAATCATGTTTTTTAAAAAAAGTTATCATTTTCAATAACTAATATTCCAAAACACACCCCGAACCTTTTTTCCGCATACGTATCTGGTTCATACTTTACAATGAGTAAATAAGATATCTGGTTTTAATTCTCACAGGTCTATGCAGTATGCATGAAAGTCATAACATGCAAATTGTTTCATGAATTATAAGTCTATTATAGTACTCTATACCATGGTGAAATATATCGCAGGACTATAGCCTACCTGCCTACTATACTATATTCTAAATCATACACCAATTGGTTATTAACTACAAGTTATCAGTCAATGCTCTATAATTTTATACTCCATAGTATATTCCATTACTCGTACTCGATACGCTATGTAATAATATGTATTATGAAATGACTAAACCATGTTCCGACCAAGGTTGGTATATATCGCACCTAGGTTCCGACTTCCGATGTTTGTAGTTTTAATATATTTATTATTTTATTAATTATTATTATAACGTATAACTTGTGAGTCCGTGACTTCAACTGATTTGTGAGCAATGAGCATAGAGATGTCTTTGCGAGACTGGCAGGCTGTGAGTTACAGAGTTGGTGAGTTCAGTGTTCACTAGCGCAGTCGTGATCCAGACGTAAAGTTGTGATAAGAATTAAGAAATCATTTTGTAAAATATGCTATGCTATCTGCTTGTTTTATATTGAACTACGGCGGCACGGCCTATCTTAGGACTGTATATTAAACTATACTTTCCACGGCAGACTAAAATTGTGTTGGTTACACTGTAAGGTTGGCATTTCATCAAGGAAATTGTTTGGTTAACATTTTTAATGCCATTTGGTCTACGTCCTGAAAATTGTAGCGTGCCGTCAAATTCTTTTTTTTCCTTTGACCCTTGGAAATAATTAAAAAGGTAAGATTTTAGAAATTTAATGTTGCATTATAAGCTCCATTTCATGTGCTTTAAATGACTTACATTTGTTTTTAGAAAAGATGCCAGCTAAAACGACTTCTGTTAAGAAAAGGGTGAGTATATTATGCATCTAGCATGTTCATTAGGTATTTCTTTCATGATATAATAACTTAAATAACTAGTATTTTGTATTGATATCTTTTAAAACATTATTTCTCATTGAAACTAACAATATGACATCGAAAGTTGTGTTAGTTGACTTATTTTTATTAAGTAGGTGCTCACTACATGTGTCTGTTATCATATGCCGTTTATGAAGTACGTCTTCCTTTTTAATGAATGTGCATTATACCTGTTAATATCAATTACTCTAAACATTCAACATTAATTATTACTTATTGATTTATAACTTAATTGTATAAAATTATAACTATTAAATTGGCCTAATTGGTAGATTTATATTTACCTGGTCTAGGGCGATGATACTTATGTGATGGCTTTTTTTTTAATAATATGTACTTTAAACAATAATATATTGAAATATACATTTAATAAAAAACCATATACATATTATTTTTACTTCTATGAATGCAGGGTTTAAATGTACCTAATTGAGTGTCTGGGCCCCATTGGCAAAACCCTTGTTTATCACTTAACTAATGCTATTAACCATAATGTAAGTTTTGTTAATTTTATATTATTGGTTTTGTTTAATTTTTAGTTTGTGTCTGATGGCATGTTACGTGCTGAACTCAACGAGTTCTTGACACGAGAACTTGCTGAAGATGGTTATTCTGGTGTTGATGTCCGAGCTGCTCCATCTCGTACTGAAATTGTTATTTCTGCTACACGTACCCAAAATGTATTGGGTGACAAGGGACGCCGGATTCGCGAACTTACATCTCTCATCCAGAAACGTTTTGACTTCAAAGACAAGGCAGTTGAACTTTTTGCTGAGAAAGTAGCACAACGTGGATTATGTGCTGTTGCCCAAGCAGAGTCGTTACGTTACAAGTTGATTGGAGGTCTAGCTGTCAGGAGGGCATGTTATGGTGTGTTGAGATTCATCATGGAAAGTGGGGCTAAAGGATGTGAAGTTGTAGTATCTGGTAAATTAAGAGGTCAACGTGCCAAATCAATGAAATTCGTTGATGGACTTATGATTCACAGTGGTGACCCATGCAATGATTATG